CCCCTTCTTCGGGACGCAGAAGCGATCTGGCGACAGGTAAGTCGCCAGGATCGCTTCTGTTGTAAAGCCGACAGTCGGCTCTACAAGTTTAAACAGACTCCCGGCGGCAAAAGTCGCCGGGAGTCTGTTTAAACAGCCCCGATGCTGGCGACGTACACTGTACGTCAGTCACGAAGGGGTTAAAAAAACAAACAAAAAAAACATTAAATAGAGTTTCCAGTCTTTTGGTTTTCTTTACTTTTTATCATAGTAAATCTGTGTTGTCCATCCACCCAATTTGAGTGTCTCAGTGCTCATAATGGTGCTCAGCAAGGTGGTGTGTGGGTGTGACTTAGTTCTAACAATAGGACTTAGCAGCAAAGTCAAGGATGTGAAGTCTTCAGTAAAAACAAAGTGGAACCAGAGTGCACAAACATGGCTTCCCTTGCTAAGGCCCCAGTCACACACGAATCAGCCTGCACGTACAGCTCTGTGCTGCGTACGGGGGCCGTACCAAGTAGCTGCCGGGAAGGACAGGTGCTGCGTGCGATTAGAACGCAGCCCCTGTCCTTCTCTATGGGGCTATGCGGCCGTACGCCCCCCTATGCTCACCTCATTTGCAGGTCCGTAGGGGTGCGGATCTTCTGGCCAGGACGCATACATGTTCCATTCCGGCGGCGTATGAATGCGATCATCCGCACCCCTACCAACCTGCAAATGAGGTGAGCGTAGGGGGGCGTACAGCCGCGTAGCCCCATAGAGAAGGACGGGGGCTGCGTTCTAATCACACGCAGCACCTGTCCTTCCCGGCAGCTACTTGGTACGGCCCCGCACGCACCACGGAGCTGTACGTGCAGGCCGATAGTGTGTGAATGGGGCCTAACAAGGTAACAGTAGGCTCCTTTTGATGCTTCTTCTTAGTCAGTATTTCTACCTTTTGAAAGCTTATATTTGAACTCCAGGCAAGCAACTAAATACATTTACATGTAAAATGTTTTGTACTTTTAGCCAGCTGGTCTTGTTATCCTGACAGCTTTGCCAGAAAGCACAGCTAAGTGAGAAACCGGTTTTCTTTACTGCAGTTAGCTTATGTAGCTCGGCCATAAACTGGCTCTAACCTGTAACTGGACATCAGAAGCAGCACAAGTAGGGAGTCATCAATCTGCACTCACCTTCTTAATGTCTAAAGTGTTGACTGGCAGCATTGTGGAGATCAATAGTGGTTGCGTACACAAAGGAATGGTCCGCCGGCTTCCGGGTCTTGCGTCGGAGTTCTGGTGACATCACGGACATCGACGTCACCGGACTCCTCCCCCCCTTCCCTTTGTTAGCCGACAGAGCCACTTGGGGAAGGGGGGAGGATGTCCGTGACGTCACCAGAACTCTGACGGAAGACCCGGAAGCCGGCGGAGAGGTGAGTACCGATCAAAATAATTTTGATCAATCAAAAAAATTAACGATTAATCGAGGGATTAATCGTTAATTTCCGCAGCCCTAGTTATTAGTTGACCTCGATATGTCTGTTATGACAGGATTCTGAGTTCTGTGTATGCTACCTGAACCAGATTCCAGAGTTCCTCACACAGGGGCTGCACTGGAAGGTTCATCTAGTGCAGGGGCGCCCACTATTTTTCATCTGGAGATCTACTTTTCAAATGACGAGCTCATTGAGATCTACCAACGAAAACACACCTGCATTCAGAGGTGGGAGGGGGCGTAGGCTGCGCAGGCAGGCCCCTCGCCCACAGTGCGATCGCCTGCATTAGTGCCTGTGTTCCAGTCCAGTGCGATCCGCAAAAATGCTGCGAGCACTATTTTTGCAGATCGCACTGGACCGGAATGCAGGCACTAATGTGCCTGCGTTCCGAGTGCGGGCGATCGCACTGTGGGCGATGCCATTGACTTCAATACAGCTCCACACCCCCTCCCGCACCGGAACACAGGGGGTTGGCCTGCTTACATTTCAGTGCATTCCAGTACATTACAGGTCCTGGCGTCCTGTCCTCCCGTGGTGCTCGTGTGGCCGACGTTGCACATGGGGTGTCCTGCACCTTTCCATCTGCAGTGTCTGACACATTCAGCCGGCAGGCGCACGAGCACCATGGGAGCATAGCCGTAGCCAGCTCCTTTTGTGTCTGAGGCAAGGGAAAAAAACTAAGTTTTTTTTAAATGTATTTTTTATTTTATTTTCATTATTTGTATTTTAAATTTTCATAATTTTTTTTTTTGTTTTACCTTTTGTCCTCCTGTTCATTCATTTATAACTGGGGACACATAGTACTATGTGTCCTCAGTTATTTACAAACAGTGGAGTGATCAGCCGATCGCTCTAGTGTTTGATGCTACGCGATCGACTGGTAGATCGCGATCGACCTTATGGGCACCCCTGGTCTAGTGCCTTTGGTGTGCAGCTCCCCCTTGTGTTTTCTTTGCTTGCTGTGTTACCAGTCCCATTCAAACTTCAAATGCAGCTTGGATTCTAATTAGTGGCTGTGTGAACCTTCTTGCCACTAATATTGGTGTGTCAGGCTTTTTGTATGTAAAGGACAGTAGATGAATTTGGGAATGCCCCACCTGCATTTTATATACATTATATAGAGGTATGCTAAAGGGAGTCCCATATCATTAGATTGCTAACAAAGACAATGGAGTGAATGGGTGCACAACACATAAACCTGGGAAAAGACTCTCCAATGGTGGTACTGTTGTATGCCTCTCACTGGTTATAGAGGACGTTCAAAAATCCGACGCACGGGCGCACACATACACACACACACACTTTTACCCCTGAGGAAAGGAAGGGATGTCCTCAATTCATATACTTACCTGCCCAGTGATTCCAGTGTTTGTCCTGCTGTAATCTGCCGCTCCACTGCCACAGCCCGGGTCCTGCGCTGCCATCCTGGTCCTCCTCAGGAGTCGGATGCCTCTTCTGTGTTCAGGGTTCTGGTCCCAGATGACACACACTGGTGTAAAACAAAAAGGGAAAAAAAACTAGGGATGACATAGAGGACTAAAAACGCCAGCAATACATTATACAGCAATACAGAATAATATTATATGCATTATCTACATACTCTGTGCTGCCGCTCTGCTCCAGGGTGCCGACCTGATGTCTCCGGCGGAGGGTCTCAGGAGGGGGAGATGTGCGGGTCGGCAGAAGCACTGTAAAGAGGCGCCACATGGTTTTGAAGAAGGCTGCCACATGGTCCCCAGCAAGCGGCGCACCTAAGGCAGCCGCTCCAATTTGAATAATTAAGGCACTTGATGATTATCTGGGACATTTGCACAAGTACGAGTGCTCGTGTATATGCTCAGTATTGGTACCGATACTGGTATCGATTCATCCCTAAATAAAAGACCTTACCATTTTGGGGTGGGGGAGCTCAGGGAGGCAAACTCATTTGGTGGACTGAGGGTCCGCGTTAATTTTACCATTTTAACTGCAATGCGCCTTTAAGGAAAAATATATCGATTTGAAGAGTTTCAGGAAACTTCGGATGACTTTACACCCTCTTCATTTTTGTAGCATTTCTTGTCCAAGTAAAGCCACATACTGCCCCGGTATCCTGAGATCACTTCATAATAAATATTCCGTGCTGATCCATAATCTCCGCTGACAAACGCTTTGCATGTTATCTGCTTCAAAAGGTGGCTGGGATTAAAGAGAGTGAAAGGGAAATGAAGGATAATGTGCTGTTTGTATCCTGACGTGTTTTGTTACATCTCCGCTTTGTTCTGTCCAATTATTTATACATTCTTCAGCGCCGTGTCACCGACGCTTCGGGTGGATGGACTTCTGACATTAAATCCATGATTGCCTTCTCATTGTTATATTTGACCCATGTGACATTCCGCACTTTCATATGCCTGTCTCTATAACCTTGTGTTTCCTCTTGTAGTATCCTGGGGACAGCGTTGTCACAGGTCAGGGCCGCATTAATGGAAGGCTGGTGTATGTCTTCAGCCAGGTAAACTCTATATTCTGCATGCTGAGGGTGACATGTGTATCTCAAACACGGAACATGTTGTCAGAAGAATCTCTTCTGTTTTTACAGGACTTTACAGTGTTTGGAGGCAGCTTGTCTGGAGCTCATGCACAAAAAATCTGCAAGGTAAGTAAAGTGTGCACAGTGTTGGGGCTTATGTCAGTGGTTGGAGGTGGCTGTACAGGAAAGATGTGATGGCGGATGTATCACTTTGGGCAATGTGCATGCTCCCGCTTTGCTGCACTTCTCTGCCCCCAGCTGACCCAGTATTCAGTCAGTCAGGGCTCAGCGGTAATGTCACCCGGGATGGAGGAGCCAACACAGTGCAGTGACAAGATTGCAATTGCAGCTTTAATAGCTTATTGGGAATCAGCAATTAAACTTAGTGGAGTAAATTGGGCAATTCATAACTTGAAGACTAAGTCCACCTAAAATGAGGTTTCCGATTTGGGTTGCAGCAGAATGGCTGAGTTGAGATGTAAGCTTACTTCAGGAGTTTCATGCTTGTTCCTTTTGTATTATGAAAAATCCTGCAACAGAAGAGTTCAGCCTTATTTTGTCTTTTGTAATGGCTGCTATGTAGAGTGGAGCCAAATAGAGAGGTATAAGCTGTAGGTGATTCAGCCCAGCATTGTCCACCAGAAACAGATTCCGGTTTGAGTGGTCATTGAGTGGTCATAGAGTTGTATTTGCTAGACTTCCAGTTGTGTCACTTAACATGCAATGTTTGTCTCCTTGTATGATCCTCTTAGATCATGGACCAAGCTGTTATGGTGGGAGCCCCGGTGATTGGACTGAATGACTCTGGAGGAGCTCGTATCCAGGAGGGTGTGGAGTCCTTGGCGGGCTATGCTGACATTTTTCTGGTAATGTGGTTTTGTTCACTATTCATTAGGGGGAATTTATCAAAACTGGAGCAAACAGAATCTGGAGCAGTTGCCCATGGCAACCAATCAATATCACATGAACAGCTACGGTTTCATAAAGGTACCTGTATTCCCCCTGTGTTCCAAGTGTTACCTTATCCATATTTCATAAAAGTAAAATACCATCACTTGCCTTTTCTAATGCCAATCTTAGACAGAAAAGGTGTATGATTCAGTTGGATGTGAGAAACATGTTTAATGGTGGTAATAATTATTAGAAGGATATTTTGTAGTAATGATGTACACTGGCCAGATTATTATGACCACCCCATCAGTACTTCGTTGGGCCGCCTCGTGACTCCACGAGATGTTGAAAGGTGATGCGAGGAATCTGACACTGCACTGTTGCCCTTCTGTTGTCTTGTACCAGTCTTGCCACTCTCCGTTCTGCCCTAACATTGACTAGTCGCTGACGGCCACAATTTGCACGTTCAGACCCAGATTTTCGGCTGACAGTCCAGTCTTTAAACACTTTAACAACAGCTGCTCTTGAACATTTAACAAATTCTGCTGTTTTGCTGATACTCGCTCCATGGCTCCGAGCGCCAACAATCATCCTGCGTTCAAAGGCTGTTAAATCGCGTTGTTTCCCCATATCTTCAGAAAAAAATCACTTCTACTGTCGTGGTAAACAACCTGCTTCCCTATTTATA